CTGGAATCCAGATGAAGAGAGGGAGGAGCCATAAGAAAATGGGGACAAGACCAGGCTACAGAAACCCACAGAGACAGCTGACCTGAACAAGGAGGAGCAAATGGGCCCCTCCCAGACTGATAGCTGGCAAACCAGCATTGGACTTACTCAGACTCCCTGAACATATGTCTCAGTTAGAAGGCCTGGATAGTCTAAGGGACCTCTGATAGTGGAACCAGGATGTATCCCTGGTGCTCAAAAGGACTTTGGAAGCACATTCCCCATGGAGGGATATTCCCTTAACCTAAAGGCAGGAGGGAGGGCCTAGTCCCTACTCCAAATGACTTGACAGATTTCGTTGATCCCTCCTGGAAGGTATTACCCTCCCTGTGGAGTAGGGGGGGGATGGGAGGGTGGAAATGGGGGGGGGCATGGAAGGGAGAGAGACAGGGGCAGGGACCTGGGATCGATATGTAAAATAAGAAAAAAAAAACGTTAATGATTGCAATTGAATATACATGAAGTAACATCATTCTGTGTGTTTAAAACACAGGAAATAATAGAATCTATATTTTATTGTTAACTACCACATGGAAGTGGCATGAGCCATACTAATTTCAGGACAGTAGCTATGATCAGTAAGGGAAAGGGAAGAATTGCTAATGGGGGTGAGAAGGGGACATTTGGATGTTCATCTCCTGTCCACAGACAGGAGGTCATGGCTCTTGTGTGATTTATATTTAGGGATCTGATACAAGTTTTGTTTACTTTTTACATTGTTTGCAGTACTCCATGTCCATGAGTGAGCGCACGCACACATACACACACACACACACACACACACACACACACACACATTTACACAAACATATTTACAACACAAACTGAAAGCACACAATAAAACATAGAATGTGTTGCTTATAAAATAAGAGAACCTAAAAATGGGCTAAGGGGAAGAGTCCTGCTTTTTTTCACTTATTCAGGTTATTTGTTTGTTTGTTTGTTTTCTATTATGGTATTTTAAGATTCTTTTCTGTTTTGCTTTTACATTGTTTTGTAGTTTCTTTAATCTAGTTTACAAGAAATAAAATTTTTGTGAGGCATAAGTTCAGACAGTGGGCTGTGAGATGGCTCAAGGGTAAAGGTGCTTACACCTAACCCTGACCCAGATCCTTCTCTGGGTCCCATTGTGCAAAGAGAAAATCAGCTCCCTGTAGCTGTCCTCTGACCTCCACAAGTATGCCATGGCTCAGGCCTTCCCTCCTCACATAAATTAATGTAATGAAAAAGCAAGTCTTGAACAAAATTATATTAAAATTGAAATTAAATTAGCCCACTAAGGTTAATGCCAAATTGAGAGTAAGTTTTAACAAATTGAATTGGGTGTCTAATCTTTCTAAAATTGAAAATGTACATTAATAATGTATTTTACAAATCAATGTCCTTGATGTTTTCTCATTGAAAACTTCACCTCTTTGAAATATCTGGATTTGAGAGCATCTGATAAAGATATCTCTAAAACTTGTAATAGGAACAATGCAATGTATTCCTTCCATTTCTAGGGCTGGGCAGATGACTCAGTGGTAAAAGCAATCACCGCTCTTGTAGAGGACCCAGGTTCAGTTCCCAAAATCTATGTCCTGTCTCATAACCATTTACAAAGCCAGTTCTAGAGGATCTGACACTCTCTGCTGACCTCCTGTACATGCAGGCAAATTACTCATAAAGAAATCATTTCTTAAATATCATTCTATTCCTATTCTTTAAACAAACAAATAAAGAAAAGCAAAAAAAAAATCTAGCTTCAAAGGGAAAGAAATCCCTAGCCTTTTCAAGATAAAAGCAGTTCTCTTTAGCAACCATTTTTCTGGACCACCATTTTGAGATAGGCAATTCTCTTTCCTGGACCATAAACTACATTGCTATTCAAATAAATAGAATTATCAGCCCTGTAGGCACTTCTTTTATTTACTCATGAGGCCAGAATGGTTTAAAAATAAACACTATAATACATTGGACTTTGCTGTGATAAAGGACCGAAATTGACATTCTAGGAACTGCATAAACTTTATTATAACCTTGCTGCAACTCTCCAAAGCAATTCTGCAAAGAAAGCACATATTGAGGCTTATCCTTTGTAGAGAAATTTGTTACCTAAAAATACATTTATATGTTATATTCCCCAGTGAGAGACTGGGATAATTCTGACATCCACACTATCAACAGTCCAAGGGATCTGAATTACTGTCCTCATTTTACGAAGCCTCTAAAATGTTTAACCTCATGGCAGAGGGCTAGGCTCATCTTACATAAGTGAGGGAACAAAATCAGAACCTAGGCAGGTAGGGTCTGAGGCAGCAGGGCCTTCTCATGGTTCTGCAATGCTGGTCCCTCTGAGCCCTATGTTCCTCCCATCAATAATGGGCAATACAAATTGCATCTCTAACTTTCTGAAAACACAAGAACATAATTCCCAGGTGTCAGCGAGTCTTACCATATTCTGCAAAGCATATATTCCTAATTTTCATTTGTTCCATTGTTTTGTTGGTGGTGCTTTGTTGACATTAACTCGGGGTCTCTCCTAGCCTAGCCTGGCCTCAAACTTGCTGTGGAACTGAGAGTGTACTTGAACTCCCAATACTTTTGTTTCACCTACTAGGTGCTGGAAAGACAGTCATGTAACACTATGACTTGCTTATTCTGTGTTTCAGGTGGCACTCAGGGCTTTGTGCATGCTAAGCAAGTACTCTACCAACTGAGTTATATTTATAGCCCCAATTTCCTATTTTGATTTATTTTTATACTTATTTATTTATGTGTATGTTTATGTATGGGGGCCCCAGGACAATTTGTCAAAATCTGTCCTCTCCTGACTCAGGAGAGGAAAAGCTTAATGGCAAACATCTTTTCCTGCTGATTTATCTATCTCACAGCCCCAAATATGTGATTTTTTTTAAAAAGCAGCTAAATTTTTATTTTAACTTATTCTAAACTAGTGTTCACAGGAACAATATTTTCCTAAGCTACTAGTCTTTCTGTAAAAAATTCTTTACTGACTTGTATTATATAGTAATCTATTTGAGGAAATTTAATTAGTCCTTTTCCACTAGAAAATTAATTAACCACACAATAGAGGTGTCTCAGATATTTAGGTCAGCTCAGGCTTCTAGGGGGTTTGTTTGTTTTCTTTCCCTTGGTCACCAGGATGATTAGCGTCTTGGCATTTGACAAGATTCACTGTCACAATGACTCCTCTGCATCAGCAGAGGATGACTGGCAAGGCTTCAGCTGAGGTTGATTGGCAATGATTGGCAATGACATTGTAAATATGTTTTGGAGCAGGAAGCATCTTTACAGAGATCCCCTAACTTCAGACTGGAGATTTAGTTTAGTTTGTAGAGCACTTGCTTAGCATGCTCCAAGTCCTGGGTTTGATTCTCAGGCTTACATTAATGAATGTGATGGTACACACCTGTAATCTCAGCACCTGGATGCTGCAGGCAAGATAATCAGAAATTCAAGGTCATCCTTGGCCACACAAAGAGTTTAAGGATAGTCTGGAATACCAGAGACCCTGTCGTCTCAAAACAAACAAACAAACAAAAAAACCCTATGAAGTAAGGTATTTTTCTTCCTTATATCCCAATTAAGAAAGTTGCTGTGAGAGCCATGAGAATGTTCTGGCAGTGGGGAGGGGGGCTTGGGATCTAGTGAGGCTAAATCCACTTGTTCATTTATTGATAATGCATCATGATTAGAGTTTTCAAGAGATTCACACTTTTATGTAGTTCCATTTCCTTTTAATTTTACCCATTGAACAGAACATGCTATAACATAGAAATGAGTCTTCCAATCAGAAATGTTCAGAGTGTATGTCTGATTTTCTTCATAAAATGAAACTAAAGGTTTACAGTTGTGAGAAGTATCTTGAAAAATGATGTTTGTATATATATTTAGATTATACCAAATCCAAAACCAATTCTTAGCTCTTAGAACACTAACACAGCTGCTTGGGCCTCAAAATTCACACAAGTCCCTGCTTAAGAGTTCTGGAAAAATTCTAGCTACTGCACTGTGTTCCATGAACAGCTCTATTGGGAATCTAAGAAGAATAAACAAATAAGCATTGCCAATTATATATGACAGAGAGTCTATACCTAATAGAAAATGACACAACAGGACTAAGACTGAATGAGTCAAGAACCCATTACTTCACAGGCATGATGTTATATACAACTGAGAACTAGAATGTATAGTAGGTTTGTTTGTTGGCAGTTTGTTTCCATCATGAACATAGGAAAAACCTACTTTTGGGCTCAGTGTGTAGCCCTGTGCCTGCCTTGGGAAAACCAATAGGTGTGTATTTACTAAATGTGTAAGTAAAGGAAAGATTTCCAGGTCAGTGAATGAAGCGAAATTGTTCTGCATCGAAGGAAAAACAATTGTAGAGTGTCAGTGTTCACACATCTACAAGTTTCTAGGTGGGCTTTTAAACTAAATGGAAATTGTCATGAAGATGATTTGCAAATTGCTGATGAAACTGGGAAAGAGATCTATAGTCACTTGATATTGTGAATGCTAACTGGTGGATGCACTCTGCTAGCCAATCTAAATGAATTCCAATGACCTAGGGCAGCCCCCTCCCGATAGTAAGTTTTCTTCATGAAAAGAGTCAAGAGATGATCACATGCTGAAAATCTCTACAGCACCAGATGACCTTTGAAGCTTAGGCTTGGCTAATTAGGAAGTGTGGCAACCAGTGATAAATCCAATGATCTTTTAGGTACAAAAGAGGGAGGTTGGAAGTTGTCAAAGAAATTAAATTCAGGTGAGTTGTGTATCACTGGCAGGCCAATCTTAGTGGGGGGAGAGCTTATAGGTAAATGGAAAATACCAGAGTATGTGTGTATTCCTCAGATGTCTCATTCCATCTTAACTTGATACTGGAATTCATCCAAGCTCTACTTTTGAATGAAAGGTCACTGCCACAATTAACTTTCCCCCACTCTCTTTCCCTCCAGGCCCTGCTGCAAAAAAGAAGTATGTCAGTTATAATAACCTGGTTATCTAATCCGTTCCATCCCATGGAACCACGGAGGAGGAAGACCTTCAGTTACTCCGTCATGCAATCTGGCATAGGACTATTTTGGTCCTGCCTGCTTCCCATCTCTGGAGGAGCTTCCCCAGCTGGGAGACCAATGTTAGAGGATCCACACATCCTAAACAGCTGCTTTATGAGACACCTTTACTTTATCTTGGCTTAAGAAGTCATTGACATCAGCACTGCCATCTCGGCTGCAATTCTGAACTCCCTGAATAAAGGGAGAGTTGAGACTCAAGTCCCACCCGGCTCTTTTGGATAAACTGCTGAGAGCCTCAGACTGTTTTTGGGGCTGACTTGTCTTTCTATGTATGTACTTCCAGGCTGCAAGGTTTTGAAATTTTCTGTACAGTTTGTGAGGACCTTTGCACTTTGCCACCCAATGTCGTACCTCGGTTCACTGTTTGTTTTTGAATGCCCTGTTTTCTTAGAACCTTATCCTCTCACACGGTGGAATCTTTGAGAAAAATTTAAAACAACTAAATTTAAAGAAAAAAAATTGAGGCAGATGTAAGAGAACACAAACCCCAACACATATCTGTAAATGACTGTATGGTAATGATACCAGTACCACGGAAAATCACGTTATTTTATTTTTTTTAAACACACACAAAATGATATTTAAAGACCAAAAACTGTGCTGAGAAGATATGCCCCACCTATCTTTGGTACATAGTAGGTGATGTGATGTCAAAGAAAAGCATTGGCTAAATGGAATAGAGGTCTTGATTTTTGGAATGCATGCCGGTAATGTATTTTACAGTACCTGTTTATAATTTGTGTTTACTAGTTGTGTTGCGTTTGTGTTCTCTTTTGTTATTTTACTTAAGGTATATGGATATTTTGCAATAATTTTAATGATTATTAAGCTATTTGAAGGAAAGGATATGGATTTTTTATGTCTTGAGGTTTTGTTTATGCCCCCATGATGACCAGCGTGATAAGGACTTTAAAAAAGAAGCATGTATGTTTTTTACTGTTTGTAATAAGTACTTTCGTTAATCTTGCTGCTTATGTGTCAATTTAGTGGACAAAAAATAACAAAAAACAAAAAACAAAAATTCCTTGCTGAAAACAATTCCCTTTCCATTCTCTTCCAGTTCTGTGGTATTGTCTAAGAATGTATCAATAAAATACTTTGGTTAACTTTTCTATTTTCTGTAGTAAGTACTTTAGTTGCCTGCCCTCCACCACACACACTTGTTTACAGTTTATTTGAAAGCCTGAGCTAAAGAAGACTACTGACAGCTCAAGTCCTAAGCTCCCGAGGGCATTGTTTCTGGAATGCACAGCAAAAACCTACAGGGTCTCCTGGAAAAGGGAGAATTACAAAAACCAAGCATTCTTTTTCTACATAACTCAATCCTCATAGAGGACTCTGGTTTAATTCCCAGAACCCATATGCCAGCTTACAACTGTCTGTAAATCCAGTTCTAGGAGACCCTACACCCTCACACAGACATACATGCAGGCAAAACACCAATGTGCATAAAATAAAAACAAATTAAAAATTCTCATATGTGCCATGCAGTGGTGGCGTGCTTGGAAGGCAGAGGCAGAAGGCTCTCTGAGTTCAAGGCCAGCCTGACATACAAAGTGAGTTCCAGGATAGCCAGGGCTGCTTCACAGAGAAAGCCTGTCCTGAAAATCTAAAAACAAAACAAAAATGCTGATAAGTTAGTTCAGCAAGTTGTCTATCAAAAACAAATAAAAATATAAGAAAAAGAAACACTTGCTTACAGACCAGCACTCTCTATAAAATTCATTAAATGATGAACATTTCTACAAAATGGAACTAAAAGGACATAGGGCACAGGAACAGATAACTGACACAATGGATTTGCTTTTGAAAACAAACATGATAGGTAGTGTTTTTGAAGCAAGATTAAGACAGAGAGAGAGAGAGAGAGAGAGAGAGAGAGAGCGAGAGAGAGAGAGAGAGAAACATCCTCAAGAAATCACTTACAGCAGTACGCATGCCAAGAACATACCATGACCTCCTTGTGCAGAGTGACATTGGTACCTAGAACTCCAAGTATGCCCCCAAATCCAATGTGTATTCAAATATCCCATGGCTGGGGTGAAGGGGAGACAGCACAGATGAAAAGAGTAGGGGGTTGTTTCTTTGTAACAAGTATGGTTTTTCTTCCCACCATCTGGTCTTGTCCCTCTGCTGCACCAGCCCCAAATAACACACAGAGATTCTGTATTTGATATAATGCTGTTGGCCTGGTTACTTGTTTCTTATACGCTAGCTCTGTCTTAAGTATTAACCCATTTCTGTTGATCTATGTATTTTTCTTACCAGGGAGGGCTGGCATACTGCTTTCTCCCGACTCTCCATCTTGGCTCTCCTTCTTACTACTTCCTCTTTTCTCCTTGTCTCCTAGTCCCTCCTATCTTCCTTTCCTATTGGCCAACAATACTTTATTCATTAACCAGTATGAGAACATATATATATATATATATATATATATATATATATATATATATATATATACATCTCCCATCATTTCTTTCACCCCAATCAGTCTCCAAATAACCAACATGGAGATTTAATATTAATTGTAAATGCTTGGGCAATAGCTCAGGTATTTTACTTCCTAACTCTTCCATTTAATTTAACTTATATTTCTTATCTATGTTTTGCAAGGTGGCTTGGTACCTTTTCTCAGTACACCAGTATATCTTGTTTATCTCTGCATCTGCTGGATACTCCTCTGATTCTTCCCAGCATTCTTATAGTCTGGCTTTCCAGCCTAATCTCTCCTGCCCAGCTAGAGGCCAGTCAGCTTTTTGTTTTTGTTTCCAGTTAAAAGTTATTTATTCAACAATATTTTCTGCTAATTCTTCTTTGGTTTTAGTCCCCCCCCCCAGGGTTTCTCCATGTTGCCCTGTTGGTCCTTGGAATTCAGTCTGTAGACTGGGCTGGCCTTGAACTCAGAGATTCGCTTGCCTCTGCCTCCCAAGTGCTTGGATTAAGGCATGAAACACAAAGCCCAGCATTTTCCTAATTCTAATTCTAAATCACATAAGACAGGAAGAGAGGCTACACAGAAAAACTGTTCAGAGACCTGTACAGAATACAATCCCCTCATTAACTCATTATCCATGAGAGAGACAAATTCAAGTCATTCACTTTCCAAGAGTAATAATAGGGATACAGAGTACTCCATACCAAAATATTTTATAAATCTTATATTCATATTTCTGTTAAAATTTACCTAATATAAAATGATACTGGCTTTAAAGAACATACAAGCAATGACTTAATTTCTTTTCTTACAAAGATCAAGTACATAAAATGTTTGAAATCTCTTTACTGCCCACAAAGTAGTTAAGAACCACTTGAGGGTTAGGGTATAGTGAATGGAAGAGTGCTTGCCTAACAAGAGCAAGGTCCTGAATGCTGCTCCTAGTACTGAGAAGGGAAAACCAGGAACAAATGAGAATATGTCCATTCTTCATTTCCAGTGGTTAACATATGCTGAAGATGTAACAGAAGGTCAGAGATTTCTGGCTATAACACATCTCCTACAGGTTCTCAATTTCAAACTATCTTACTGGCTTTTGGAGACCACATGGGTACTGGATACTTTAAATCCCAGCAATTAGGAAACTGACGCAGGTAGGACTCTGAGTTCTTGGCCAAACAGGGCGATCTAAGGAGAACATGGTTCAAAATAAATAAATAAATAAATAAAAATGAAAAAGCAACATAAGGTTTTGGGAAGCATGTACCCTCAAAGGAAACCCTTTAGTATTCTTAGAGTTACACCCACTAGGAGACAAAGTCTCTCTTTCATTCTACTTTCTCAAGAGCTTTGGGCTTTGAAAGAATGTGTATGCCACCATGCCAGCAAGGTATGCAGCCACTGGGCAGGAACCTCCTGATGGGTTAAGAAGTCAGTCTTTCCTCAACAGCTGATCTGAACTGTACTTGTCCCTCCCCTCTTTCCATATCTTCATCTTGAAGACTGGCTGGAATTCTTTAAAGTTGATAACAATTAAATTTGAACAGAGGCCTTTTCAGCTTCTTCACCATCTGCAAAACATCAAAGAGGGCATCCAAAGCATCTCCTGTTACCATGAGGGATGGGTCTTTGGTGGCAACTTCCAACAGAAAGCACCCAATGGTTTTAAGAGTTTCAAGTGTGCCATCTTCTTTGGCTAGGATGCCGCCAGTGATTAGCCAGCTCTTTATTAACCAATGAAATTATTACATATTTACTGTGTACAAAGATTATTCTACAGCAAGAAAGTGCTTGCCACACAAGCATGAAGACTCAAGTTTGATCCATACAACCCATGTTAATAAAAAGCCAGACTTGGTGGTGTGTATTTATAATCCCAGCAGTAGAGAGGTGGAGACTAGCAGATCCCTCATGCTCCCTAGAAGCCAACAAAACCTGAAAATCGACCTCCAAACAAACAGACCCTGCCTGAGAAAATAGAAATAATACTCAAGTTAGCAACACATACACAGACAAGGGGGAACACATATATACATACAAAACATATTGGATGGATGGGTGAATAGATAGATAGATAGATAGATAGATAGATAGATAGATAGATAGATAGATGATAGATTAATTAAATAAATATTCCATGGTGAATGTAGTTGTCACTCATTTCTACATCGCAAGATAAAACTCTCATATTCTTCCTCCCTTTGGTCTCTGTTGAGTCTTCCTGTAGTCCCTTGCAAGTGATGCTTTTGCAGAGATTCCAAAATTTCATTCTAGTATCAGACTGCAGAAAATAAATCGCCTTTTCCAATTTCTCCTATCCTTTCAACACTCACAAACTAATAGACCATGGGGGAAATTGCAAATCAAAGCAGAAACACATTTGGACTACTACCACTAGTGCCAACATCAGGGTGGCTACCTCTTGTTTTAAAAACAAACTTAATATTGCAGTGCCTTCACCTTCCTGGTGGGGAAACATAGTCTATAAAATAACATGTGAACAGTTCATGCTATCATGTCAACATGATCAGATGACCATGTTGTAGAATCACTTTCACTAAGAAATATTTCTCCATTATTCATATGTTCAGCCAAGAATACTGAGAAGCCAGTAAATGCATATGGCATTTAGAGCAGGACAGACACCTTCTGAAAACACCTGCTCTATGTATTTATCCTCACAGTACAACTGAGCTAATGCTGAGAAGTAATGATGGAAAAGGGAGGGATATAGTACAATACATAAATAATTATTAAATATATCACATAGTCTATATATTATTTGTGTTACATACATATCTATAAATTTGCTTGGACCTCAAATTCACTTCTAACATCTTGCAGTACTTCTGTCTCCCACTAAATACCTGGGATTCAAGTTTGTTTATAGCCATAGAACAAACATATTAGAAAATGTTATCAACACCAAATCTATAATTTGGATCTGGAGTGCTCCCCTCAAAGGTTCCTCTAATGTTGAATGCTCAGCCCAAGATTAA